CTTGTCACTTTTGGACAATCGATAAGGCTTATGATAGACTGGTTCATCATCCTTCAGTTCTATCTTCATTTCCGTCGCAGACGTTTTGCCTAGACCTCTAAAGTGTATAGAAACGCAGTGTCGGTATTTGTTCAACAGAATATTTCAGTTGAATGTTTGTTAGTTCCCCGCAACATATATCGTTAATTCCTATTGCTTTCCCATTACCTACATCCACCGTGTTAACCTCTACCCAGTTATCGTGGTTTTCGACCCTATTCAGCGTGAATGTTACTCCGGTTACGTCGGATATCACCTGTATCCCTTATTTACTCAAAATATCGCGACCAGTGATAACTTCTTTCGATAGTTGCTCGTCGGGAACTATCAAAACTTGGACTCCGAAGGGAATATCGTCGATCCGAACATTTACCTTCGAGGGAGCTAGAGGTAGGACCAACGAATGATTAAACCCTGTTAGTATCTTATCTGTCTCTTTAAACTTTAATTTCAGTCGTCGAGCAATGCTTTTACCTAACAATTGAGCAATGGCTACTTAAGTCTATCGTATACAGCACCTCTTCTTCCCCTAATATGTATTTTTTTATTGGTTTATTTACCCCGCTATCCTCGAGCTCCAACACGTGCATTGGAGCAGACTCGTTGTCCTTCCGGTCCAACGAATCTGCTTTCGTGCCTAGTCAAGATCCCTGACCTTTATGATCTATTTTCTGCTTCTTGAAACATTGCTTCTCCCTATGACGCGTTTTGCCGTAGTACGCATACTTTACACCCTTTTCGTCCCTCTTCAGGTGGGTTCCCCGATCGTCCTTAGCTTCCCTGTTCGGTCTACTCGGCAACCGGGCAATTAGTCCTCTTGTGGCCTAATATCCCGCAGCCAAAACATACCTCCCTCTCTATCGGTCTAGCTCTATCTTTTTCTATCATCCGCACTTAACACCCCTTTTCTGTCCTTGACCCCCGTTGAGTTCCCTGACTTGCCTGTCGTGAACGCCTCCAAACAACGCGTAAGCTCGGGGATTGTCTCTTTATTCGATGCTGTTAAACTCATCCTAACTTGTTCATCGTGTATCCCGTGGATCACAAATTCAACTGTTTTCTTTTCGGGGACGTTAACATTTAACACGTTGAACGCCACGTCAGCCAGATATGGGTGACGGCTATGTTTCCACGGGGCCCCGTCACCCGTAAACGGGTGACACATTCTTCGTCCAATTAAAACAGGATTTTTGAGGTATTTTATAGAAATTTTATTTCTAACACAATTATGACGAGTATATACAACAGAAAGTAACGATAAACTATAAAGTAAACAAAAAGAAACATTAGAAATATGCTTATATTTAAATTTGTTTTTAAAGTATTATAACATTTTATTAGTTATGGTGTCATTCGTTAAAACATTTTAAACATAATTGAGGTGACTGTGAACATTTAGGACAATACGTTTTGTAGTCTTTGGCGCATTTTTTCTTGCGTCCTGGCGTTCGAGAGTTTGCCTGTTTTGCGTAGCACCGAATGTACATTCTTCTAATAGACTTGCCCTGAGGATTTTTGCGAATTTGCAGGTGATGAGACGCCTTCTTTATTGCTCGGGGCCTTGCGTTTTTGGATTTCATCCACTCCCGAACTATAAGCTATCGGAATTTTCCGATTTGTATATTCTGATACGTTGCTTTTTTATAAACAATGTGTACATTCACTGCAGAAGTACCTATTAGGAAATGAATTGCTAGTTTCCGAACATCTCTTACACACAACTGCATAACTATATATATACAGTAAACGGATAATAATAGAGCTGCAAGGGCGAGTGCCCCGCAGTTGACGCATTGTACGCGAAGGCCCGGACTTCGCAGCCGGACGGGTTTAGTACAAACAAATAATACCTTGCAACTTGGGGGGGCCTGCCTTTGCCCTCTAGGCGCTGCGCAGTAGTTAACAGAAAAAAAGGAAAAGATAGAAGATATAAACAGAGTTAATAAATCAAAACACTCGGAGCATCCTCTGCGAGTTAGGGGTTCTTAACATGCCCCTACAAGTGGGGCAGCAGTTAACGCTCTGAGGGGGAACGTGGGCAGGGACGTAGAACTTGTACGAATTCGACGGACTCTCGTACCCTGATGTAGAGGGGGGGCGTTGGTGGTATCATGGCGGGCGGTTTGTGCAAGGGGGTCAGAGGTGTTGACGCGGGGGGTGCAGGCAGTCGCTTGTCCTTCGACGACGAGGTTGTGCGGGGGTCTATGGCGGCGTTGTTCGGCCCTTGGTTCTCCTTCCGGGTGATGTAGTCCTCCGGGGAGGTGACGACATGGACCCGGACCCGTGGCTGGCTGCCGACGGAGTCCGCATCCCTCGTCGAGCATCGGTACATTTGGTCGCTTCTGTTAATGCCAGACTTTCCAGTATTGTAAGCTATGACTGCCAAAGGTTTTATTTTTATAGGACGTCCGCGAAGAGTGGACGAGTCCGAAACTGGTACCATAAGAGGTGGATGTTTCATTGATAATATTTTGACATCACGGACAGCTCTCCATTTCGGCACTATTATGCCATTATCGTTTCCCCGTGATATTATTTCACCTCTCTTCAATGGGTGAAGCATAACAGCTTTTGGCATAAATTTCCTATTGTGGCGTACCGTTCCAACAACATGGCTTTTGAAATCTAACAATTTTACGGTTAATTCGTAACTTGTATAAAAATTGTCGATAAACAAGGTACGCCCTTCGTTCAATAGCTTGTTCATGAGTTCGATGCAAACGTTTTCGGCTATGCCAACTCGTCTGATCCCGCAAGAATCGCGTGCAGCATATATTTTAGTGGACCACGTATATCCTTCTGTAGAACCTTCTGTTGGTATATACTGTCTAAATATGAGCCTTCCTCTCCAGGGAACCATAGTTTCATCAACTACAATTTCTGGGCCGGGTAAAAATATTTTTTGCCAATTCTGTGTAAGTATCTGCACTAATGGCAACACTTTTCCAAGTCGATTATTATATTGTACGACTTGGTTGTTTGCGAAATGTAAATGTGACAACAATAGTTCGAATCGATAACGAGACATTTTATTACGGGGAAACAGAAAATTATAAAGTGAATCCGTTGATCAGTATTTGGATAGTGGCGCTTGCACTAAACTCATCTAAAGCAACAGTCCAAGAAATATTTTGATCTCTTCGAAATTTGTGGGTTTCCATCTGTTTATTCAAGCTTGTTCGTTTTGTGCTTTTATTATAAAAGTATAAAGGAAATTAAAGTAAACGCGATTAAACTCGTTATTGTTGCAGATTCAAACAACGGAGAATTTTACGGAAAAATAAAAAGAAAATCAAAAGGAAAAGAAAAATATAGAAAATCATAATATAAAATACAAAATCGAGGAATGAACGCTGAGCAGCAGGAGGCTGTGCACATTCCACATAAGATGGTTAAAGTTTTCAAAACTTGCGGCCTAGAGTTATCATGATGAAACAATACTTTCTTAACACTTTGCCGGCCGCTGTCACGCAGGCGTGACTTTTTCTCGGCAACGGTTATTGCCCGCTGTCACGTAAGCGTGACTTCAGTTCAGGTACAATGCTTCCATTGGGACCCGCGAGCGCGCGCGGGTTAGCGCGGGTCCTTCGCGCGTAAGGCGTCGGCGGCGCTGCGGTCGCGGAGTCGAACAGGCGCCGTGCGCCCCGCCGGAGGGGTCAGCGCGTGAAACCTCGCGCACACGAGCGATCCTGCGCCTTTGGTATGGCGGAACAGTGTCTCCCTCCTCCCCGAACCGAGGTCTGGCGGACCACGGACAGCTGGGTTGGGGTCCGCCAGACCTGGAGAACCGTGGTCATTGCGGTCGGCTTCGCGCGGTGGGCGCGTGGTGTCGATATAGGTATGGAGGTACGCGTGGGTCCGTTTTGGTTTCGCGTGTATGCAGCATGCGTGAGGTTGCGGTTCGTGATTCCCAAACTCGCCGAGTGGGAACCTTCGGGTTTGTCTCTCTCGTGTGGACGTCCTGGAAAGTACGTCGCTCGCGAAGTCAGGGCGCTCCAGGCTTGGAGCCTGTATGCTTGCCATCGTAGGGGTTTTAGTAGGTAAAAATCTCGCATAACCACACCTCCAATCCTACGAAGGTCTGGTATCTTTCAAAAATTTCACCCACGTGAAAATAAAAAAAAATAAAAAAAAAAGTAGAGAAAGGATGCAATGCTTCCACTATGTTTCTGTTTTGACTGTTCCGATTGTCTTTTCTTGACATTCTTTAAGCAGATGCTTGCTCTATTAGTCTCAGATTTTACTGCCTTTTTTAATAATAACCATACCGCATATACGAAGGATAGCGTAAATATGACCGTCAGCGAGGAATAGAATCTGCGCAAAATTCGTCGGCGGCAGCGTTAAAGGCGATGCGAGAAGTGTGAGTGGCCGGCAAAGTGTTAATATTCACCAATCGAGGGCATTTTTTAATCAATTCTAAGTTTAACCGTTTGAGTGCCAAGCGGCGCGATCGCGCTTCTTCTATTTTGTGTCCAAAAGTGCCAGCGCTCTGAGATGCGAAGCTGACTATCAGCGCGCTCGGTTGGTGAACGCGGAATATGAGAAGCGCTATCGCGCCGCTCGGCATTTTTGGACACGGAATATGACAAGCGCTATCGCGCCGCTTGGCAAATATCGATTGGGAAACAATAATGACCCGTGGCACTAACAACAAAGTTATTCACTGTAAACATCTGCATTAATGGTTTGATTTGGTTCTAACAGATCATAATATTTAAATCACACCATACATATCCCAGCAAACACTTAAAAGTATCTTTTTAGGATGTAAAGACACCTTTGCTGTTGGAATTGGCTGCTTATCTGTATCTGTCCACTGTCTTTTTCTTCTCACGTTATGATAAATAATCCATTTTTCGTCACCTGTTAGCAAACGGTCTAAAAATGGCTCTCTTTCGAAGCGCGATAAAAGGGAAGTGCAGATGTTTATTCGCTGCTGGAAATTGACTTCGGATAACTCATGCGGGTACCCACTTTCCAAGCTTGGATACTTTCCGAGTCTCCTTTAAATGATGAAAGACTGTTCCATGAGACGAATCCATCCTTTCTGCGATTTGATCCACTGTTAATCGTGGCTCTGACTCCACAAGATTTTTAAGAACGTCGTTATCAAGATTAGCAGGTCGCCCTGATCGGGGTTCATCATAAATGCTGCTTTCTCCAACTTTAAATTGTTTACACCATTTCTGGGCAGTCCTTACACTGATAGTATGTGCACCGTGTACACTATTAATTTTTATCGCTGCAGATCTGGCAGATTCGCCACCCTAAAATAAAAAATATAACACAACACGTTTGTATTGATTATCGATATTCATTTTCTATGGGTACTAATATGGCGTCTGATGTTTACGAAAATTGGTGACAGACTGACTAATACATTAGTCAAGCGGCGATAAGTTTCGACAGGTTCGAAACCTTATCGGTCTAGTAGTGAGTCACAGCAAATCCCATGCATGCTATTAATGCGCACGAAGTTATAGACTGACCTGATAAATTTCGAAACAATCATCAATACATATACCAACTTTGCATTTTCTGCACTGATATCGCGTGTCTCGTCTTACTTTATGTTTCGTGCAAACAACGCATTTTGTTCTCGCTGCTTGTGCTTTACCCGCTTCATTCGGACATTTTGATCAAAAATGCTTCCCGGTTAACCGAAAGGGTGAATCTTCGGATTCCCTTTTTCTTCCTGCTGCTGCGGGGGTCTATCTTGTGTATGATTTCGTAAAATATCTTTTACTAGAGCTAAATGAAATTCGTGAAACTTAAGTTTTGATTTAGTAGAATTTTTATATAAAATCTAATAAGTGGAAGAAAAACTTCTTATACCATTTCACAGTTTTTCTTAGGGAATTAAGTGTAATTCAAATGATGTCTACTCCGTCGACAGCACCCATGTTACAATTATAATCTTGAACGCATGATGGTTTTTGTTTGAATAACCCTGTACGTTAGTCTCTCTTGACCACAATAATCTCCTCCAGTTTGATTACCATTTTCCATATCTTCAACAATCAAACCTTCCTCTTCTGAAGAGGTACTTAATATTCTTGGTCGTCTTCTAATTTATATTATATATCAGCCGGCACAATAGGCGTTCACAGATTTAGCAACTCGGGCCGCTCGGACTCGCATTAGGGGGAGATGGTGGTGGTCTCCTTCGGTCATGACAGTGTGCCAGAACATGGTCATATGGTTTTAGAGATTTTTGTGTTCACTATGACCTTAAGACATTTGCATGGGTTTTTCTTCCATGCTCTTTGTGTTTTGGCATACTCGGTCAGGCGTAATTGCTTTTTAGGCTAGATCAGGTCCGACCGAGTTTTTGAGTGCCTCTCGACCATGAGTGTGAAACGGAATATCTCGAGCAGATAAATCTCTAGTTCTTGAAAGATTCTTTCCTGTGACCAGGACGTGGCATTCTTGCAAATTCGATCCAGTCATTCAGCGGGGATGCCAGCCGCTCAAATAGTTCACATAATTTAAGTGCCAAAGGGCACGGAGGGCTAAGTTCTTGTTTGTCCTTCAGCTCAGGATCTTTATGTTGTTTTCCATCTCTGAGTTCTTCTAAGGACTCGAGAACTCTCTCGCTTCCCTCTCCGAGCTCGGAACAGGGTCCTTTCCAGTCTCCTCCCCAGACTTCCTCGCTCCTAGCTTCTCCCAACCGAGACTTCCTGCATATCTTCGTGGTTGTCTCGGATCCTTGTCTCTTCCCTCCGGGCCATTCGCAATGCCTCTATCTCTTTCTGCAGCTGGAGAATCTGCTCCTGTAGTCCTAAGCCAGGGGTTGCCTTGGGCGCCGAAGCAACCCCCTTGTCTTTTCCCGACTCTATGTCGCCGATATTGCTACCCTGCATGGTCTCATTCCTCGTTTGGGCAAACACGTCTCCCCGTACACCCACCGGTCTGTTGAGGTTACATTTACAATCCGGTGACTAAGTTGCTCGCGGTTGCCCCGGAAGAGGATTGCCCCCTCCCTGAGAAGGTTGAGGCCATCAGTACCCTTCCGGTTCCTTTAGGCACGACTAGGGTTTTCATGACCTGGGACCGGTAGTCTTTGATCCGTATTGAAGCTCCCTACCCCATACGTCAGCTGAGGGTTCCCATCCGCCTCTATCTTCCCACCCCAAGTTACGGGCCAACCGTCCGCCGTAACTACTATCGACCACCCAAGCCACTCCAGGCACCTGCGTAGCGTGTGGGTGACTTTGTATGTTAGTCCCCACCGACGTTGCTCCATTTGACACAGATCTAACCTCATTAATCCATTTTCGAGCTACACGTCGTCCTCTCCCGCTCCAAATTGGGCATAAGCCATGCGCGTCCACGCGTGGGGGCTCGAATCGAATGTATAGCCGTGGTCGCCGGGGTGGTCGGTCTCTTGTATCGTGAAGCTACTCCACTCTGTATTCTCCAGCCTCCTCCACGCGCCACTGTGTGTTCGTATACCAGTGAGGGTTGTGCCGTTCCCCATGGCATAGGTGTTTATCTTCCAGCTCCACCGGACGCGCCTACTCACACTTCGCCAGCGAACCAGGTAGCAGTTGTCCCTTCGTCTACTTCAGAGTCGAAGATAAGTTTAGCCCAGTAATCCCCGGTAGCGGCGTCTGTCGCGGGGAACGCTATTCTATCTTGCTGCGCAGCTGATTTTTTCCATTTTTCGAAGCCCCTTCGCAGAACTGGACCGCGCTCGAGACGATCTAGGCCACCCGCTCGACACCTGGACATGATCTGGGTTCTGTCCTCGGTATTCAGGGTGTCGAAATATGCATATCCGGTCGGAGATAGCCAGTGAAGCCATGTTTCCCCAAGCTCCCAACTGGACCAAGGGATACTTGAGGGCCATGCTCCTCCGGCTGAATCTTTGGTCGATGCTGTTGACACTAGCTCGACCCCCATATCCGGGATACGATTCGTTGTTTATTCTTCCATCGGCCTTGAGTCCCATCTCTTTCAAGACCCGCAGAGGTGCCCCGACATAGCGGTCTTCTCCATCAGTTGCTGTAGTGTAGTCCTCTACTTTCTGGTGCCAGCGGACGGTCAGGGCCGTTGTTATTCCATTGATTTCAAGTCAGTTAATACCCTTCGGAAAGTAACCGGTGTGTAATCAGAAAATGATTCCCTAAGGTTTCTTGAGCTATTCAGAATTCCTTCTGCCACCAGCTCGATAGCTTCGTCACATCCACCACCTGAATCGTACTAGCACGAGGGATGTCTCCTCGATGGTCCGTTTGGTTTACATCGTACGTTCTCCCCCCAGGTCGACGCGCGCCACAGTTTTTGTCAACACGACGAATATTATACATCGTGCCGGGTCGCTGATGTCCACGAGTCTAGCCGTCCTTACGAACGCTTCTCTGCGCGGTTGTTGGTTCCCCACTACATGCATTGTAAATTTTTCAGTCACCTGCGCCAGTGGGTAAGTGAGGTGGGCGGCGATCCAGGTATCTCTCCCGACGTTGTCTGGGACAATCATTTTCAGCGAGGGGGATGATTTTTGTCCCTGGATCAGACAGCAACCAATCGTCCGCTGCACGACCGGCCACTCTCAGTCGCCCCTGGTGACGGAGGAGGCGAGGCCATACTCGAGCACGTCACTCGACACAAATATCGCATCATAGTGCCATCCCGTTGCTAAGCGAGTACTTTCGATCTCCCTCTCAGACAGGTCTTTCTCTGTCCATGCGTATTCAACCCCACTCGGTTGAATGGCCCTCCTCTCTCTTAGCTCATCATATAGGTCGACTTTCAAGGCCAGCGCTCTGTAATCATGCCTTCCGTCCTCCATCGCCCGTTCCACTCCTGCGGCGAGTTGAGGAACGTTACTCATGAATCCGTAAGTGTAAATACCCTTGGCAGGGTTTATGGTGCCCGGGACAGAAGGTGAGGGAGTAGTCGCTGCCTCGATGATTAGAGCCGACGTCTCGGTACGTATAAGTCAGCCGTGGGTGTAGTTCGCATCCACCCCAACAGCCACCCACTTCAGCCTCTCCCCCCTCCTTGCTACCGTCTCTTTCCCCGGCTGTGGCCCTAGCGTATCGTGATCTCCCTGCACTAATTCCGGTTCCGGTACTTCTTCGGGAGTACGGCCTTTTTCTCTACCATCCGCCACTTCTCTTACCCCTACGCATTTCGACTCGGTCACCATCTTGACCTCCTCGTTTTCTACTACTGCGGCTCCTGTGACCTCCGCGTCGCTTCGGCCCGTCTTTCGCTCTTTGTCCACCTCCTCACCGGCCTTGCGCACACGCGAGAATTGATGGAGCGTTCCACAGTTTGTATATGCATGGTAGTTTGCATCTGCTCCCCGGGAGTAATATACCGATGGTTGATATATGAGTTTGTGCCCCTGGAGTAATATACCGATGGTTGATATATGAGTTTGTGCCCCTGGACTGTACGCTGTCCTTTTGCGGATTCGAGTCAGCGGCGAGGGAACAGTGGTTGCAACGATTGGTTCATGAATTTTACGTAATTGAATGTGAGCATGGCCTCTTGACGAGCAAGAGGGCTAGCTCTTCGCTCCAAGGTGTTTTCTTTTGGCAGATGATCTCCACTTGCTTGCATCATGCCAGTTTTTGCGTGCCCTCTGTTCGTGTACACCCCTGCCCCTTATTGATGAAAAGGTTCTCCGGCAATCCGGGTTGCGAGAGGGTCCGACTACGTTTATTGTTGCCTCTTTGTAAGTTGTATATCTGTGAGACGTCTTCTCTATTGTTAGAATGAGTGCGTGATTGCCAGGGAAACAGCAGTATGTATGTATATGTGTTCGCCACTAGGCCAAGCATGTGCATGCTGACTGTTTTCATACAATGTAGCAGTTATGGCCTTCCAGAACGTTCTATCGGTATGATGCCGATCTTCTCTTTTTTAAGAAGCAGAGTCCGCAGAAAGTCAGTCGTCCCCTTCGTCGGTAGTGAGAGCCAGCACATGCTGTCAGGATACATTTTAACAAAAACAGTTTAACATCTATAAAATTCACTATCTCATTGTGCCGCCTGATTCTGGCGGGTTTTGTGAAGATGCAATTCCCCAGCACGAGTGCCAGAGTTTTCTTCTTGCCCCTTGCACTTTTTGCACATGGAGTCTATTTGTTTATTCGCCCTTCTTAGGGCTATTCTCATGCCATATGTATTTGTTCTTATTTTTATCGCGTCTATATATCTAGACGGTTTGAGCCACGCATTTCTATATCTGTCGTTTGCGTAGCTGCCCACTCTTTGCCCCTGGAAGACGTGTTGTCTCCCTTCTTTTGGCATGTCCCTTTCGTAGGCTTACCCGCACTTCCTCAATTTGCTCCTCTGTTGCCGGCCATTCTATTCTCAGGGATTTCGCGGATTTCAAGATGGTTGCCTATAATAATACCCATAACCACTAAAACCACCTCCTTTTTCATTGTGCCTGAGTTTGCAGGCAGTACAAATTCATACCTCCGTAGGTATGAGGCTCGGCTATCCAACTCCCGTTCTTGATTTCCTCGCTGTCGCCTTGTTGAATTGCCAGAAAGCAGTTAATCCTCCAATCAGGATCCGAGATGACAGGATTTTTAAATCTTTTTTCTTTATCACGCGCAAGTCTTATCAGAGTTGAAGCTGATGCATGGCTCCAAATCCCACGGCAAGAAAATGTGGCCGACGTGAATATGACCTGACTGACGTCGTACTTCTCTTCGCTGATCCTTTTTAGGTTTACGTAGTAACCCAACTTCTTTTCGTGGGCTTTCGTGAGGTCCGCATACTCACTCACTATTTGTGCTTCGATGACGATTGCTGTATTTTCTCGTCTCGCGACTAGGTCGGGTTTTCGCAGCCCGTCCGCAAATTGGAAATGCGGCTCCTGCTCAACTCTGACAGTTCTTGTGCGAATCCAGGGCTCTTTTTATGTAGAAGACGACTGCGTCAATGATCTTCTCTTTTTTAAGAAGCAGAGTCCGCAGTAAGTCAGTCGTCCACTTCGTCGGTAGTGAGAGCCAGCACATGCTGTCAGGATACATTTTAACAAAA